ACCTTTAACTTTTTTTTTTTTCTAATTTCAAGAGATTTTTGAAAAAAAGGGAAAAACTGCTTTGGTCTCATCCTTCTGAGAATATTGTGAGTCCTGGTTTAAGCCGAAAGGGGATATTTCCTGTCTGGTACTGTACCTAGCATATTACCTAGTAATTCCCAATGGTTGGTTTTTAATGAAATGCTAGTACATTTTATTTAATTGGGCGTTTTTTTGTGTGTGTGTTTTTTGTATAAACATATACACAATCTTAATCTGAGGATCCAATTGTCAAGACAGAAACATAAATTGTTAATATGTATGGGTTTCAGAAGCTTGTGATTGGTGTTGTCAGTAGTCTATCCTTATGGCTCATTGTTTGCATTATGTAATGTTGCATTTATTTTCTCTCACAGCTGCTGGCTCAGAAATTCAGGAGCAGCGTGGCTGGGCAGTTCTGACCAGGGTCTCTCATAAGGTTGCCAGGTCTGAGGGCTGTGTGGTTTGAGGGCTTGGCTGGGGCTGGAGAACCCGAGTCTGCTGTGGAGACACGCTCCACGCCCTTGTTGTGTGGCACAGCCCTGCACCAGCTCTTCCTCATGGGGATGGGTTCTGTTCCATTCGGTTTTTCTGTATTTTGTTCTTCTAGCTATTCTCTCTCTTTAAAGCTCTCTGTTGAGCTTTGTATATCCGCTGTGGAAATTCCAATCTTCACTTCGGATAGGTTAAGTGAGTCAGTGGTGAGGGGAACATGCCCTTATTATTGATGATCTTATTATTGATGACCCCTGTCTTCAGGTGACTTGTTAGTAAACAGGGTGGTCTGCTATCACTGAATGCTTGTAAGATGACTATGTGGAAACCATTGCCAGCACTGGGCAAGTTAGATCTCTCCCTCTCTCTCTCTCTTTTTCGTCACACACACACACACACACACACACACACTGGACTTGAAGACAGACTGTAGTTGAACAAAGTAGTCTCTTAAAATGACAGTCTAAAATTTCAAATCCAAACAAGGGGTCTGCAGTGATAATAAAATTCACATTGCATGCAAAATGTAGTCTCTAAAGTGAAATTGTTCTGAATCATGAAAACCTTGAATTTATCTACTCCTTGTCCAGAGTTTGCTAGGTGATTCTGCCTTATAAGAATTCTCCTGACATAGTGTATACAGTTTACCTTTCACAATGTATGTTTTAAAAATTTAAAACCATTTACTAGCCATCTCTTTATTTGATGTAGAAAAGCATGAATAAAAATATAAATATCACCTGCAATCCCATTGCCAAAATAACTTTATTTGTATAATGAAAAGATGTCTGCACCTTGAAAGGACATTGAGACAGATCCAAAATACACAGTTAACTCTCAAAGCCTCCTCTCTTCTGTGCCTTGAAGGTGGCCAGTTAAAAATTTCATCTCCCTTTAGAAAAATAAAAGGCCCTTTATGAACTTAGCCATTGCAGGAGCCATGCACACATCTTAGAAGTTCACACAAAAAGGGGCCCTACCATGTACACTATTCTCACCTGTGGTTATTAATCTTAAACATCTTTATTGTTGAGAGGATTACAGATGCCCCCCCCCTTTTTCCCATTGACCCCCTCCACCCCACACCCGCCCCTCCCAGGCCTTCACCACACTATTGTCTGTGTCCATGGGCTATGCATATGTGCATATAAATTCCTCAGTTAATCTCTCTCCATGCCCTCTCCCCCCTCCCCCCCAATCCTTCCTTCCCTCTGAGATTCATCAGTCTGTTCCATGTTTTTATGTCTCTGGATCTATTTTGTTCATCAGTTTATTTTGTTCATTAGATTCCACATATGAGTTAGATCATGTGATACTTATCTTTCTTTGACTTGCTTATTTCGCTTAGCATAATACTCTCCAGGTCCCTCCATGCCAGTGTTCTCAACCTTGGCTGCACATTAGAATCACCTGGGAACCTTTTTAAAATCCTGATTCCTGGGCCTCATCCTCTGGAAATTCTGTTTCTTTGTTACTAATGTTGTGGCCCCACCCCATAACAAAGAAACAGAATTTCCAGAAGATGAGGCCCAGAAATCAGGATTTTAAAAAGATTCCCAGGTGATTCTAATGTGCAGCCAAGGTTGAGAACCACTGCTCCATGCTGTCTCAAATGGTAAGAGATCCTTATTTTTTACAGATGCATAGTATTCAATAGTGTAAATGTACCACAGCTTTTTTTATCCGCTCACCTACTAATGGGCACTTGGGCTGTTTCCAGATCTTAGCTATTGAAAATAGAACTGCTATGAACATAGGGGTGCATATGTTCTTTCTGATTGGTGTTTTGGGTTTCTTAGGATATATTCCTAGAAGTTGGATCATTGGGTCAAATGGGAGTTCCATTTTTAATTTCTTGAGGAAACTTGGTACTGTTTTCCACATGGCTGCACCAGTCTTCATTCCCACCAGCAGTGTACTAGGCCCTAGAGTTCTCTTTTCTCCACATCCTTGTGAAGAACGCAAACACTTGTCGTTTGTTGATTTGTTGATGGTAGCCATTCTGACAGGTGTGAGGTGATACCTCATTGTTGTTTTAATTTGCATCCTTGGATGATCAGTGACTTTGAGCATTTTTTCATATATCTCTTGGCCGTCTGTAAGTCCACTTTGGAGAAATGTCTATTTAGGTCCTTTGCCCATTTTCAAATTGGGTTGTTTGTCTTCTTTTTTGTTAAGTTGTATGAGTTCCTTATATATTTTGGCAATTAACCCTTTATCAGATGCATCATTGGCAAACATGTTCTCCCATGCAGGGGCTCCCTTTTCATTTTGTTGACCTAGCATTATCTGGCAAACATCTTTTCACATCGATGCCTGCATTCCAGCTTCATTCCTGTTGGGGGCAACACAGTGTCCCACAGCATAAATTCAGCCAGTCATCTCTTGATGTATATTTGGGTTATTCTCAGGCTTTTGCAATTACAGATCTTTATTTAGATCTCTTGACATACTTTTGATGTCCCTAAAGGGAATTCCTTGGGATGGAATTCTTGAGCCCATTTTCGTGTTCTTTGCATCTGACTGTTGCTTTCACATCTACATTATTCAGCCGCAGATCTGGCAGCACCAGCCTAGAATGATACTTACCACATGAAAGGCAACTCTCTTCTTTGAGGTTTTCCTGGGACTTTAGGTAATTTCCTAGCTTGAATATGGAAGTCACATAAACAAGCTCAAAGCTCATGACATCATATGTCAGCTCCTCAGTTTAGAGTAAGTTGAGTGCTGTGCGAGGTAGGGAGTACTGAAAAGTTTCAGGGGCGTTACATTCATCCAACACATGCTTATCAGTGTTTTGTACATGTCAGGCACTGGGGGAACAAAGTTAAAAAGATGTGCTCACCTTCCAGGGAGCAGTGGTTTGTGCAAGGCAGCCCAATGGGGGCACCAGAAAATGGGTGAAAAGGGGCTTGAATCAAGACCTGCAGGAGGGTCAGACTATACGATGAAGGCTGTGGGGTGGGAGGAAGGGCATTCTAGGCAGAGGCCACTGCCTGTGTGAAGACTTGGAGGCAAGGAAAACCGACTGGGATTGGCACTGGGGAGAACCCAAACCACGGAGACATGTGTGGCCACGTTGGAATGATCAATGCAGATCACATCCCAGTCCTGGGGTTCACTTTCTTCTCACAGCATTTAGTTATAAGTGAGATTATTGAAACTATGCCTAACACATGATATCCAATAAATTGTGCTCATGCTCATGGTAATGCATGGGGCTGCCTTTCAGAAATACAGTGTCTATCTTTGGAGTACTAGAATCCCTAAAGCCACATAAACATCTCTGCCTGTCAGTGGTGTTATCATGGAGAAAGATGTTTTACAGAAATGGATTTTCAAGTAACTGAAGTTTATTCTCTTGGTTATGAACTTTAAAAACATTACATGACGAGTGATGGCATTTTTCCGCACATCTGAACATGGGTAATATCCTTTCCCTTCTGGATGATCAGGACTAATTGCTCTGTATTGTACCATCTGCCCATGGGTTTGTGTGTGCTTCTTGGTGCCTCCATCTCTTTCCTTGGCTGTTTGTCAGCTTCCGTTTCCTCTGCCCACTGCCCTTCCTCTCCTCTCCACAGTTGTTTACATGGTTGTTATGAAACCGTATGTCCTAATGAGAATGCTATTAATGTAAACATCATGTTTGCTTACTTGCTCTTCATTGTGAATTAAAATCATGCACTTTCCTTATAAATAAAGCTTTGTTTTAAAGAATTCTAACTGTACAGAAACAGAGAGCATAAAAAATGAACATAGTTCTTCCAAAGTATTCCTTCCACACCTACCCTGTATGGATCAGGGGTCTCCAGAGAAACAACCAATAGAGAGTGTGTGTGCATCTCTAACTCTGTATATCTATAGATATCTATAGATACACACACACGCACGGATTTATTTTAAGGAACCAGTTCATGCGATGGTGGCAGCTTAGCAAGTGCAAAACCTGCAGGGGGGGTTGGCAGGCTGGATACCCAGGGAGAGTTGTAGCTCAGGTCCAGAGGCAGAATTCCTTCCCACGCTGTTCTCTTCAGGTCTTCAGCTGATTGGAGGAGGCTCATCCACAGCACGGAGAACAGTCTGCTTTACTCCGCATCTCCTGATTTAAACGTTAATCTTATCTCCAAAGTACCTTCACAGAAACACCTGTCTCACGGGTGCAAACCCCAGCGTTCCGTCCTGGCCTCCCAGGGTCTGTTGCTCACTTCACTCCAGGGCCTCCTGGCTGGTCCCTGGGAGGGCCGGGCATGTCCTCTGCCTGGACCTTTCCCTCATGTCCCTTGGCTTGTTCCCTCACCTCCTTCTTACCCTCCCAGTGTCTCCTCGGTGGGTCCACCCAGCACCCTGTTTAAGACAGAGCTATGCTCCCTGCACTCAACCACCTCCCGTGGCCCAGTGTACATTCTAACACTCTATCCCTTACATGTTAGGTCTACAGTTTATGTCGTTGTGAGCACCCCCCCCCCATCCCCCATGAAGGCAGGGATCTGGGTTCCCTGGTGTTTCCCAGGCAGGGTGCCTCACTCGTAGTCCATGCTCAATGAACATTTGAGGATGAACTGATGGGGCCCTCCTTGTTCCCCTGCTGCTGGCTCAGCCCCTTGGGCTCAGCGCCTCTGACCCGCTTCCCTCTCTATTTCCAGACCGGCCTCATTGTCGCCTGCTACCACGGCTTTGTGGATGCTGTGGTGGTCTTGGCAGAGTGCCCCCATGTTGATGTCAACTGGCAGGACAGCGAGGGGAACACGGCCCTAATCACAGCTGCACAGGCAGGTAAGACCTGGCTTCTTCTTCCCCTCAGAGTCCAGGCCTGAGAGCAGCTGCTGGGGTGTGGGGGGCCCTGGGCATGACCTCAGCTCCAGACATGAATGTAAGGAGGGAACCTGAGCAGGGATCCTGTCCTACTGCTCAGAGGTACAAGGAAAGGGCGACGGGTGTGGTGCACACCTTCTGTGCACTGGGGACCCAGCAGTGCAGAACTCAGCACTGGGCAGAGCGAACCCGGAGACGCCCCAAAGCTTTGGAGGCTGAAGCTGCACCGCAAACCCAACCTAGTGGTCACTTCACCTGGAGCTTCGCACCCCACCCCCATCGGAGACTCGGGATCAGAAAGATTCGGGGGAACTCACTAGCGGAAGAGACATGCCCGGTGTTAGTGATGGTATAAAAGTAGACAAGCTTCCAGGGCCACCTCGCACTCGGCCTGGAGATGCAGAGAGAGCCCAGAGCTACTTGCGGGGCGTGTGTCAGTGTAACGCGGCGGGGCTGTTTGTGAGACACCAGGTGAGCGTGCGTCCCAGTAAGTGTCCTTCTGCCCACGCATCCTCTCCAGGGGCGTCTGCGTGCCCACACCGCCGGGCACTCCGTGGCTGTCCTCTCCCAGAACGGCATGCAGGCCTTTTTGAGACAAACATGACAGCTATGCTGGTCGCCTCAGGGCCGCACTTGGTTTGTAACCGTGTATTAACCGGTTTCGTAACTGACCGCTTTCAAAATGCTTGGCTCCCAGGATGACAGCCTTGCATCATGCAGGTTCTCAGTTGCAAAGAAGCGCTTCTGGCTGAGCCAGAAGGACCAGGTGAGGGCGGCTTGGGCTGGAGGGAGTTGTTGGGAATCCGACCCAGTCAGGGCCGTGGAGCTGGAGAAAATGCCCCAAACCACACCGCCGCACGTTGGTTATGGAAAGTAAACATCTGCCGCTGCCCCCAAAGAGAGACCTACCTGCCTGTCCCATCTCGCACCACCAGCTGGTGTCTGAGCCAGCGTGGGTGACCAAGCAGGGAGCGCCCGGAGGCTGGAGAAGCCAGTGTCTGCAATGTCACCCCCCGCCTCCCTGCCCCCGCCCGCCCGCCCTCATGTGCAGGAAGCAGCCTGTGTACATGCCTTTCAGTCAGGATGTGGGAGGTGGAGAAAGCCCTGACTTACAGAGGGGTCGGGGTGTCCTAGCACACGGTTGCTTCACCAGGTTTCGGGGTGTGAAGCTTTACCACCACAGAGGTAGGGCCACCAGGCTTTGAAAGCCCAGTTGCACAACTTCCTGAGGTGGGAGAGTGGGAATGGATATGGTGACCGGGCAGTGACCAGGGGCTCATCATTCAGTACCTCCCACTGGCCAGGAGCTGGGTCGGTGCCCAGGGGGTGGGAGTCGAGCGCATTTCTCCACATGCATAACTCTCGAGATGTTTTTTTTTGTGACCCAGCTCTGAGTGCGGGTGCCATGATTGTCCCGCGGCGAGAATGCTCGATCTAGAGAGTGGAGCAGGATCGTTTTGTCATGTAGCTGAGTATGAAAAGATCCATAGAAGCCAGAGGCAAGCTAGGATCAGTAAGACATA